TAGGCCAGAGGTGCAAGGCCAACAGGCAGAAGGACGAAGTACACTGCTGAGGGGGGCAGTGGGTGGGTCAGGAGAGGTCTGCCACACCATGTGTGTAGGAAGGGGGATCGAATCAGCAGTGAAGTCGCTGCAGCCAGCTTGCAGTGCTGTGCTTTAACCTGCTGCTCCACCAGGGAAAACCAACTTTTTTTTGCTCTTTCATTGACAGTTTTCACATTAATGAGCTGATATAACTGTTACTTACAGTGGTAGCAAATAAACATGATTTTTTGGGTTTTTTCCTTCATTGAAAAATAAAGTTTATCTTGGACTGATGTATTCTATATATTTTCTTTCAGTCAGATTGATGTTGCATGAGACTGTTAGGTCTCTAACCTCAGTGACTTAAATAGGAATTTGTCTGGATATAAGTGGTGCTAGCATTGTTCCTGCTATTCTGCACAGTTTCAGGTATTCTTTCTTTTCTGTCATCCTTGGTGTCCTCTTGTCACATCATGGTCATAGTATAACTGTCATTATATATTCCTATTCAAGATGCAGAGACCTCGCAGTGCTACAAAATGCACTGCCAAATTTAACCCAGCAGACATGTCCCTATGTCTCATTGGTGAGTTCTAGTCTCCTGGTCACATCAGCTGTGAGGAGGCCTGTGAGTACAAGTATCTCAGAAGGAGAATTACCAACATTGGTTTTGGCTACTTATGGACCATTGCCTAAGACAATGCTCACTCTCACCCCTAGAAAAAAATAAGGTTTTTTTCACTAGCAAGAAAAAGAGAATGAATTTTATGAACTAATAATGACTCACCAGAAATATCTGTGGTAAGGCAGAGAATAGCTAGAATTATTATCCAACATTTCTTTAATAAAAAATAAGCTGCATTTATATATTTAATTTTAAAATTTATATAAAACAGTAAGATTTGCCACATTAATGGTTATCACTTTCATTGCTCTATAAAATTCATTTTATTGATCACATTTTCAGTGTCCTTGAATTATTACCTATCATGTCTGTTAGGTATATACATCATTTAAAACTTTTATTTACTACCAAAAAATGAGTTCATATAGACTATGCTTTTTATATTTCCTTTGTAAAGAAATGTGCAAGTTAAAATAACCCTTTTCCTCTATGTTGATTATCTCACTCTCTCTATACAGAGTTTTTCTCTTTCAGCTCATATTCATTGTCATTCTATGCTCTCATTTCCTTGCCTTTCTACAGCTCTTGTTTGGCTTTTGTTTTCTGCTTCTCTTCCAAAAAAAAAAAAAAAAAAGACCAGAATAAAGTTGATTTCTGGTTGATAAGATCATATTGTGCTATTAAATGTCCTTCTTAGTTTCTTAATTTCATTTGGGTTATGCACTGTTGACTGTTGATTGTTAACAGGTTCTGAAATAATCATATTAGGTTAGCTGAGAAGTACATATCAAGCATTAATGTACCACATGCTACTGAATCAGAAAAGCTACTGGTAATTTCTGAATGACAACCAAGATAGTTAATACAATTTTTGCTTTTTAAATTACGTTATTTAATGTGATTCTCTTTTCCTTTATTACTTGTAATATCCCATAGAGCAGCATTAAGATTTCAATGTTTGAGGCATATTGTAGCTCTAGAAAAATTGTCAAGTATGTTTTATCATGTTAATATATATCATGTTTTATCATGTTACTATGTATCATGTATTAACATATATTATAAACTGCCTTAAATACGTTGGCTTAATATGTACTTACAATATATAGGATATAATTTATTAACACCATTCTTGATAAAATATTTAGATTTTCCATGATTTAAGTGGTATGCATTTTATTGTCTTTAATTTGCCTGAAAATCAGGCTAATTTTATTAAATACATATTCTGTTGAAGGAGTGGTTTAAAGACACATCTGTAGTGTGGTGAAGTTTCTTAGATTTGTATCCTTTTTTTTTTTTTAAAGATTTATTTATTTATACATACAGAGCTGGGATACAGGGCAGGGGTGCAGAGGCAGTGAGAGGATCCACCAGAGAAAGAGTGGGGAGCAGAACAGGCAGATAGATGAAGTCCACTGCTGAGGGGAGCAGCGGGCGGGCCAGGAGAGGTCTGCCGCGCCATGTGGTCACCTCCGGGACAGGCGGGAATCGAACTCATGCGGAAGCGGCTTTAGCTTTCTCAGTGCTGCGCTTTGACCCGCTGCGCCACCAGGGAGGGCCAGATTTGTATCCTTTTTATGCTATGAAACAAAAAGCTTCGTAAGTTTTTTTAAACAGTAATAATTTTTTAAAAAATATTTATTCATACAGAACTGGGGTACAGGCCAGAGATGCGGAGGGTGATAGGATTAACCAGAAACAGAGTGGGGAGCAGAACAGGTTGAGAAGTACACTGCTGAGGGGAGCAGCGGGCGGGTCAGGAGAGGTCTGCGGCGTCATGTGGTCACCTCCAGGGCTGGCAGGGATCGAACTCACGCGGAAGTGGCTTTAGCTTCTTAGTTCTGTGCTTTAACCCGCTGCGCCACCAGGAAGGGCCTAAACAGTAATAATTTTTTTTAAAGATTTATTTATTCATACAGAACTGGGGTACAGGCCAGAGATGCGGAGGGTGAGAGGATTCACCAGGGACAGAGTGGGGAGCAGAACAGGCAGATCGACGAAGTACACTGCTGAGGGGAGCAGCGGGCGGGTCAGGAGAGGTCTGCCACGCCATGTGGATCTCCTCCGGGGCAGGCAGGGATTGAACTCATGCTGAAGTGGCTTAAGCTTTACTTAGTGCAGTGCTTTAACCCGTTGCGCCACCAGGGAGGGCCAACAGGAATAATTTTTTAATGCTATAGCAGTGTCTAGATAAAAAGAGTTATTCTGTGAATTTTTGCTTGAGCTGACTTTACATCATTCTTACTATTACCTCTGTCTTTCAGGAAGCCACATTGGGGACATGTTGATCATTTTATCTTCTTTCCATTCCTCCCAACTTTTTGTTATTCTTCTCTCTCTTCCTCCCCCCACCCCACTTTGAGATTCTATGATTCCTTAGTTTTTGTTTTAATTGGGTATAAAATGACTTAACAGGTCAAACCTTGAGAAACTATTATAGACTGAATCTCCTCGTTAATTTTGGAGATAAAATTTCTTAATCTGTGTTTGTTGATGTAGTTACTGTCAGTTGGAATCAACTAAGACATTGTTACGGAACTTAAAACTTTGTGAACTGAATTACTGTGGAATGGTACATGAATTATAAAGCAGAATAGCAATGGTAAAACTTAGTCTTTATTCGTTATTTTCCTTCCCTCAACTCATTGATCTACTCTTATATATGAAACCTACAGAAAAATAATTTAACTGGTAAGGAAATATTTCTTTAGTGTAAAGGGTAAAGTGCAATTGTTTGTCTTCACAATACCATGATTCTTGACCTTTTTAGACTATTAATATATGACTGAGGCTATTACTCTCTCTTATGTACATTTATGTTATTTTTGCATTTTGTTTCCAGTCACATCAATTCTGTCTGAAGCTTTGAAAAATCCCATTAAACTTTTCATAATGATGTATGTATACTCAGAAAGATTATCTGAATTTTAGCCTATAGTTTATTGAAAGTACCATTATGTGAATAGAATATTGCTTGCTATTTCATGGAACAATCTTTATAGTCTTGTTATATCTCTATTCCATTAGCTCAGTGCCAGCTGTTGCTTTGGTTACTATGTTCCTGTTTTGGCAAGTTTTACATGGATCTCAAACACGGTGTTTCTCTTCTGACCTTATTCTTACAGGATTTTATTTCCCCTCTTAGTAAAGCTACTGAGATGTTAAAAAAGAAAGAAAGAAATTAGATCACATTTATTTGTTTCCAAAGCAAGAAATAATTTTAATTTAATAAAACAAATGGTTGTGTTGTCTTCTGAAATGCTTTTAAAGAGGTGGAAGTCTCAATTTACTTGTGAAAATAGCCTTTTAAAAATCCAATTTATTTTACAATTTGTGCATATGAGAAATTTCAGGTAAGGTTAAGTGATTTGTTGGGAGTCATAGTGACAAGTTGTAGGAAAATTATCATTAGAATATTGAATATTTAATTAAAGAGAAGAAATTATATAATAGACATTGCTACCTTTTCTGTAACAATTTCTCTCTTTGCATTTTATTTTTTAAATGTGTTTAGTTAGTTTTGGGTTTCTCAAAATTGCTAGAGACTACTTATCCTTTGCAAATTTCTCTATCCGGAAATTAGTGGTGATAGAGTAATCTCTAGTATAGTATAGGGAGTCAAGGGCCTAAGATTTAAAATTGGCCTTTCACCAAATAGCTGTAGGTTTATCCTCTCAGTTTCTTCATTTCCTTGACTAGTAAATGAATATTGTTTTACCAGTGTGTTATCAGTGACAGAATTAGTGGATAGGAAGGCCCTTCTAAGTGTTATCTTGGGAAGACAGCATCTAGATATAGATACTGTTTCCAAAAACCTGGGTCAGACATTGCAATGAATACACAAACATACACACACACTATACCTATCTATCTATATATCTGTCTGCCTGTCTGCCTGTCTATTTAAAAAATACATTTTATATATATGTATAAATACATAAACAAGACTGGCAGTCTGCATGGATCCATCCTCAGGTAACTCCATAGAGTTCATTTATGTATTCTTTAAAAGAATGTACTTTTGTTGCCAGTTCCTGCATGGCTCTCTCAGTGGGAATTTGTGGTAAATTTTAAATGAGCTCTAATGTTATAACAAACTTCTGATCTTGCTTTTATCCTTGAAAAGAGAAGAAAAAGGGAAAAGTGAGTAAGTGATACACTGTGGATTTAATTTTCTCTTTTATAATATAATGACTAAAAATATTTGTTCCAAATTGGTTGTCTTTGTTCTTATCTGTTAAAATTTGAAAACTTCATAGTAACTATTGAAGTACTGCTTAAAGTTGTAGATTCATTTTGGTTTTGTTTGTTTTTTTACTTATGTTTACCACTCCAACCCTTACTTTTATAGAATCCAACCCAGGTTGGAACAGCTCTTCAGGTTTTCCATAATCTTGGAACTTTGAAGGATACTATTACAAGTGTCATGGATGGATATTGTGCTGCTTTAGAAGAAAATATCAACAGTGCATTAGACATCAAAGTTTTGACTCAGCCTTCTCAGTCAGCTGTGAGAGGTATGGATGTGGTTTATATTTAGTTTCTTTATTTATTTAAAACAGAGAAGTCCTTTGAATAGTATGTGAAACACTCAACTTTCAAAGCAATCTAATGACTCATTTTTTAGTAGACAGAAAATGAGAGGAAAATTATGTTTCAGAATTTATTTATAACTTTTTTGTCTGATTAGATACTCACTGATTAGTGAGTTGAACTGGCCAATTGGTATATTCAGAACTTCTAGATAAAAATTTATAAACTGTGGCATCATTTAGTTCAGAGGAAACAGATGCAAAAGGAACAAAAGGAACATATTTTTCTTCCTAAAATCCTTAGCCCCACAAGTACTTACTGAGAAAAATATTTCTTAAGGAAAATGTAATCTTCACCTTAGCTTTCTGGACCTTTCTGCATGATAATGGTGGTATTCAGGAGCAATAATGAATAACTGTGGCAATAGAAACTGATTACACCTTTGGGGACATTACAACCATAGCAAAATCTAAAGGAAACTACTGAAGAAAGGCAGACTCAAGGTGGAAAGAGGTAACAAGCCCTGCATTAGCTCTCTGCAACTCTGTATTTCGCACATGTACCACAAGATAAGCACACACTTAACACGTAACACATTATGGGTAGGCAGTACACATTTGTGTTTCTCTCCCTTAACTAAGCAACCCCATCTCTGCACTTTTCTTCTTACATTGTTTCTTTTCTCTTGTTAGTGTGATGTACTGTATGTGCTTCTAGAAAGGACCCTGTTCTCTATTTTTGTGTTACCACCTCTCACTCAAGGGTATGGCTTTAGCACTTTGCCACATTGTCAGTTTTTCCTTTTATTTCCTGGCATGTACAATTGTGCTATTGTTTCTTCTGCTAGAAGTTAACCAAACAACACTTATCTTTACTCCATTTCTTTTACCCAGCAATATTACCCATTTTATTTCTTCAGACTACAGAAAAATTCTCCAAAATGTTGTCTGTACTTATTGTCTCCAGCTTTTGCTCTTCCTATTTTTCCTTTTGAAGAATATATTCCAATCATCACTAAGTTGTCCTAAAAAATAGTGAAATCATGCATTCCAATTAACAGCATAGTTCTGGAAACATGGCTAACACTAAAAAATAAGTGTGGTCATTGACTGTTTTTATATAACCTTACCCTAAATAATAGACTGTATGTCACTCATAAATAAATTGCACTAGATGAAAGGAGATAAAAGAGATTTTAGATCTTAGAGGGATTTTTAAAGGTTAGCCCTTGCCTCTGAATAGGCCTCCATACAGACTATCCCAGGAAGAGAGCTTTGAAAAGAAATTACCAAGGGAGATTTCCCTCTCAGCTTTTCCCAACAATTATTCTCAAAGTTTGATCTGATGTTTAAATTTCCAGAAGCGGTTTAATCTCTTTCCTTCTTGTGTTGTCAAGAATAAGGGAAAGAATGAGAGCAATTGTTCACATGCTGTCAGTCCTGATGTACTCCCTGATTGTTGAGAGAATAAAGAGTTTTAATGCCTTATTATCATCTGTTGATGAATAGATACCCTGATTCTGTGTAGAAACCTTATGCATCATTATTATTATGCATTATTAGTATTATTTTCATTCTGAAGTGTTATATTGGTAGTATTAGTGTTAATTTACTGATCTTGTAAGTTATATTGAGAATATGTAGTAGAATGTCCTAGTTCAAAATATACATTAAAGCATTCCAAGGGGATGGGGCATTGTGTTAGTAACTTGTTGTGAAGTGAATCAGAAGCTTTTTTTAACTACACTTCCAAATTTTCTGTAGTTTAAAGATTTAAAATACATAGATGACTTTGATAAACATTTAAAGAAGAATGTAATTATGATGTAACGTTTAGAGTTCAATAAGGAAGCGATAACACAATTGTAAAGAATAAAGATTATGAATAGGCAATTCATGGCAGGACATAGCTATCAACCTGTGAAAAGATGTCTCGCTTTGAGTTTGGGTAAATGTTTCGTGACCTGGCTCCATCATCATGACGGCATCCACAGCATTGTTACTGCCTGGAGTCCTCTTTGCTTTGCTATTTCATTCTACCTCTGGCGTCTTCATTGTCTCCATAGTTTTGCTTTTTCTATAATGTCATATAGTTGGTATCATACAGCTTGTCATCTTTAAAATTGACTTTATTCACTTTAGTAATATGAATTTAAGGTTCTTCCTTCTTTCTTCATGTCATGATGACTCACTTTTATTTTATTTTTAAGTTTTTTTTTTTTAATTTATTTATACATACAGAATTGGGGTATAGGCCAGAGGTGCAGGGACCTTGAGAGGATTCGCCAGAGACAGAGTGGAGAGCAGAACAGGCAGAGGGATGGAGTACACTGTTGAGGAGAGCAGCAGGCGAGATAGGAGAGGTCTTCCACACTATGTGGGACACCTTTGGGGCCGGGAATCGAACTTGCACTGAAGCACTGCAGCTAGCGTCAGTGCTGTGTCCTAACCTATTGTGCCAAGGAGGTGAATTGGTGGTGGAAAGTCCATGGGGATTACAACTGAGATGAAAAAAGACACAAAATGAAGAACATTGTAAAAAAAAATTATATATAATTATATATATATATATGAAAAAAAAAAACAGCTGACATAAGTATCCTTGTATGGGCTTTTGTGTGGATATATTTTCAGCTGATTTGAGTAAATCTCAAGGAGCATGAATTCTATGGTAAAGGTATTTTCAGTTTGGTTAAATTAAAAATAGCCAGAGTCTTCCACAGTGACTGTGTCATTTTGCGTTCCCATTAACAATGAATGAGGATTTTTATTGTGTCAAATCCTCTTTAACATTTTAGGTTGTCAGTGTTCTTGTTCTAACTTGCATTTCCCTGACTTTATGTGCTATATGGAGCATTATGTGCTTATTTGTCCATTGCATATCTTCTTTGGTGAGGGAGAGAGGAAGGCACCAGTTAATGTCTTTGGCCCCTTTTTTAATTGAGTTATTTTCTTACAGCTTTAAATGTTTTTGTATATTTTAGACTTTAGTCCTTATAGATATGTCTCTTGCTATTTATTAATTTGTAAATATTTTTCCCAGTTTGTGACTTGTCTTCTAATTCTCTTGATTGTCTTTTGTCTTAGAGCAGAAGCATTTAATTTTTTTTAACAAAATAGCTCTGTTTTATTTTTTTATAACAGTTTATTTTTACATCATTTTGTACATTTTTTTTCCATCTCAATTTAATTTTTTTATGATTTATTTATTGATGCATACAAGAATGGGGTTCAGGCTAGAGGTATGGGGACTGAGAGAATTAACCAAAGACAGAGTGGGGAGCAGAACAGACAAATCAACTGAAATACACTGCTGAGGGGAGCAGTGGGTGTGTCAGGAGCAGAAGCTTTTAATTTCAGTTACTTTTCCATGATGGATCTTGTCTTTGGTGTTGGATCTCACAAGGGCATCACCAAACACAGGGTCATCTAGTTTTTCTCCTAAAAACTAGTTTTGTGCTTTATATTTAAGTCTTTCCTTCATTTTGGGTTTACTTTGGTGAGAGATGTCAGATCTTTGTCTAAGTTCATTTTATTGCTTTGGCTACCTAATTGTCCAGCATCATTTGTTCTCAAATATTTTTTTTTGGTTCTATTGTTATGATCATTTGGTATTTCATTTTTTAGCCTGTTGATTTGATGTATTACATTAACTGATTTCACATGAACTAACTCTGCATACCTGAAATAAATTCCTCTTGATTGTGGTATAAATTTCTTTTTATGTATTGTTTGATTTGATTTGCTTTTATTTTAATTTTTGACCATTTTCCCATCTGTGTTCATGAGAGCTATTTCTCTGTGGTTTTCTTAAAATCTTTGTCTGGTTTTGATATTAGGCAAACCTGGACTTGTAGATGAAGTTATAAAGTATTCCTCCTGTTTCTAGCCTTTGAAAGAAATGACAGAAAATTTGTGTAATTTTTTTCATTAAATGTTTGGTAAATTCACCAGTGGACCCTTTTGGACCTGATGTTTTTATTTTTTCTGCCTTAGTTTTTGCAAACTACTTATGTGCAGAAAATAGTACCCTATTGTATTTGTTGTTCTTGTACTTACTTTAAGAAAATGATGGGTTTGTGTTCAGTAGTGCTGTTTAACAAAATCAAGCTATACATACTCTAGGAATTTGATTAATATTTTCTAATTTTCACAAAGGCACTGTATACCCTTTTCTTTATGAATTATTTTTATGTGACATACTAGACATTTGCAGATTGTTGTAGTATTACTTCTCTATTTCTTGTATATTTTCCCTTATTAGTCTTTGTACAATACTAGAAATAATTTCAAAAATTAATTACATCTAAATTTTAGTTGTAATTATTCATATTTTTGAAACCAGTATTTAGCCCCTGGATGTTTCTCTTTAATTGTTTTCATCTGTTAGGAAAAAATAATAGCATCTTTTTGCTTAAGGTGAATGTAATTCTTTTCTGAACTAAGAATTGTCCCCAAACTGGAATGGAGCAGTACTTTTGGTTTTCATGATTCTTGCTGCTTTTAAAAGCAGGATAGAGTATTTAGTGATGGGCTTATCTACCGCCTGTTTTTCTAAAGCTTAGTTTTTGATTAAAAATGATATTCAGGGCTCTCCCTGGTGGCACAACGGATTAAAAGCACCACATTATGAGGCTCTTGAAGCCACTGCAGCACAGAGTTCTGTGCCCAGCCAGGGAGCTGACCCACATGGAGTGGCAGACCTCTTTGATCTGCCTGCTGCTCCCCTCAGCAGTGTATTTCTATCGATCTGCCTGTTCTGCTCCCCACTCTGTCTCTGGTGAATCCTCTCACCCACCATACCTCTGGCCTGTACTCCAATTATATACACATAAATAAATAAATCTTTTTTTAAAAAGTTATATTCAGTTTTAGATTAAAATTCCTTTTATATTGAAACATTTAAAAATCTTTAGATGTGTAAATAAAAATCTATAATGCATTTTTAAGAAAATTCTTGGGCAATACTGTCAAGAATTTAACATTGATTAATATTTAATATATGATTCATATTCACCATTTTTCATTGTTCCCCCAAATAACTTTTTATAGCTGTTTTTCCCTTACCTTGAACCACTCAACAGTTATGCTTTTCTGGACCACCCTAGTGGTGCAGAAGTTAAAGTCTCAGCACTATTAAGCTATCACCAGCCACTCTGGCATGAGTTTGATTCCTGGCCAGCAAGCTGACCCACAGCAGACCCCTCCTGTCTCACCTGCTGTTCCCCCAGCAATGTGTTTTAATAGATCTGCTTGTTCTGCTCCCCACTCTGTCTCAGGTGAATCCTCTCACTTACCCACCCACCCACTCTCCTCCCCCTCGCCCTCATATCTCTGGCCTACACCCATGTTCTTGTAGGCATGAATCAATAAAACTAAATATTTCAAATAAAAAAGTTATGCTTTTCTGTTGTCTCCTTATTCTTCTTTAATTAAAACATCCTATTGAGTTTTTATTTTTATTTTATGGCATTAACATGTAAATTTAGAGTCACACAATCTGAATTTGTCTAGATATTTACATGATTGTTTCTTAATGATTAATCCAGGGACAGTGATGGTGTGTGCTTCTCACTGCATCACCAAAATTACATCAATCTGTCTCACAATTGTGGATGTTAAATATAATCACTTCATTATGGTGGTATTTTCTAGATTGCTCTGTGTAAAAATATACAAATTATACTCTCTATACTTTGTAATTAGTAAATAATTTGTGGCACATACCTAGATCCTTGTGAATATCTCATCCTGTCCCATATAATACTTCATCTGGTGATTTAGTATACAGTAAAAAATATTCCCCCAAATAACTTATAAAATGGTGATGATTTTCTACTTGTCATTAACAAAATGTTGATTCTTCTTCATATCTATACTCTTAAGAAATTATTTCATAAGAAACTCAATTTTTAGCTTATATGTGATTTTCATAATAACATATTTTGTTATATTAGAAAATTTAATTTTTTAATATTTCTTTGTCATTTTTGAGCAGGGGGACCTGGGAGATCCACTATGCCAACTCCTGGAAACACTGCAGCTTTTCGTGCTTCTCTATGGACCAATATGGAGAAACTTATGGATCATATATGTACTGTTTGTGGACAGGTAAACATGTTAGAGGGTAGAGAGAATGTTAAATATTGGTTAACTTTCGGTTATTCTAAGATGTATGACTTTGGGCTGGTTTCTTAAAATTTCTGAATATTCTAAACCAGGGCTTAATAAATATTTATAGGGCTCTGCAAACCCCCCACCCCCAAATGAGTATCACGCATAGAAGAAATTCTTGAGGATATAACATATTTTGCATCATAAGCAAGTGTCAGTAAGTTCATGAAAATTGATATTATTTTGTCTTCTCTGATCACAATAGTATCAAACTAGAAATAAAAAACAAAAAAAGTGAGAAAAATTCTCCAGTATGTGGATAGTGAACAACATACTGCTGAATGACTATTAAGTTATGAGGAAATCAAAGGAGAAATTTAAAATACCTGGAGACAAATGAAAATGAAGACAGAACTACCAGAATATATGGGACTCAGCAAAAGTAGTGCTAAGGGACACATCTATAGCAATACAAGCACATATTAAGAAACAAGGCAGCACTTGTATAATCTAACCTTATAGAAAAAGAAGAGGTGAACCTGTACCTTAAATCATGTATATTTTGTAAACCAGTATTACCTCAATAAGATATATAAATAATATTGTATAAAGTAATTTGTAATTTTTTTATTTTTAATATAATAGTCTATTTTTATATCATTTTGTGCCTTTTTCCATTTCAGTTTCAATTCCTGTGGGCTTCCCATCACTAAATCACCTGTGTGTCATCACCATAGTCTAGTGTACTTTCCCTCCTCCCCATTTCTGATCCCACTCCCCACTCCATCTCTGTAAAATGTTTCTGGTATATGATTGCTCATTAATATTATTTTTCCCCCTGGTCCTTTATGCTCCTGCTATGAGTGAAACCATCCGGTATTTTTCCTTTTCTTTCTGGCTTGTTTCACTTTGCACGATCCCTTCCAGCTCCATCCATTTTGCTACAAAAGGCATGAGTTCATCTTTTTTGATTGCTGAGTAATATTCCATTGTGTATATATACCACATTTTAATCCAGCCATCTACTTTTGGGCTTTTGATTTGATTCCATGTCTTTCCTATTGTAAATAAAGCAGCAATAAACATGGGGGTGCAGTTGTCTTTTTGAATCAGTGTTTTTGTCTTTTGGGTAGACACCTAGGAGTGGGATTGCTGAGTCATATGGAAGCTCTATAAAACCTCCAAACTGTTTTCCATAGTGGTTGTACTAGTTTGCATTCCCATCAGCAGTGTAGGAGAGTTCCTTTTTCTCCACAAGTGATTTGTAATTTTATAAATACAAGAAAATGATTTCTGAGTATTCAAAATGCCTATATAAGTATAGCTCAAAACTATAATGTATACCCTTTACATACATTTATAACCTTATAGCAAAATGCCATTTCTCTTCCTTTGATGTTTCTTGGTGCCTTAGCTTTATATATTTATATATTTGTGCCATTTGAAAATCTTGTTACTTATATTCTCTCTTTATTCACTGTTTTAGGTTCAACATCTACAAAAAATATTAGTCAAAAAAAGAGATCCTGTTTCTCACATTTGTTTCATTGAAGAAATAGCTAAGGTATGTTTAAATGAAAATATTCTTATCTTTCTTGAAGAATAGAGGCAATTATAATACAGCATTGTGTTCCTACCTCAAAAGTTGTTACCTGTCACATAGCTGTAGAAAAATGTTTTTGTAGACAACCACACATTTTGTTACAATGTATGCAGTATATACATGTCTGCAAGATGCTTAGTGTTTTATGTAAATGCTTAATTTCATGTATCCACCATTACAATATCATACCAAAACATATCACATGTACTATGACTATGTGAGAAAGTCACTTTCATCTAAAAGTTCTAATAACACAATATGCTTGTATACTGATTGGTGCAGAGTTTCACATCCCTAAAAATTCCTGTGCTCTGCATATTCATTCTTTCCCTGTTTCTCTCCCAACCCGTGGTAACCACTGATCTTTATATTGTTTTTGTATGTTGCTTTTTCAGAATGTCACATAATTGAATTTATATATAGGTACCCTTTTCAGCTCACTTCTTATTTTTCACTGGTGAAAATTCAATTATATCAGTACACTTTGCTTACATTCATTTTTTTTTTTTAGTTTATTTTGTTGCTTTCAGTTTTTGATGATTATGACAAAACTGAAGTCAAAATTCTGTGCGGTGTTTTTATATGGACATAAAATCTCATAGCATTTGAGTAAATAACAAGGAGTATAATTGGTATTGTAGTCATTAGGTTAGACTATGTTTAGCTTTGGAAGAAACCATTGAACTGTCTTCCAACATGACTTTATCATTTTGCATTCTCATTATCACGAAAAGAAGGGTTCCTTGCCAACGTTTGATATTGGTAGTGGTTTGGTTCTTAGCTATTCTAACAGGTAGATAGTGATATCTCTTTGTTTTAATTTGTGTTTTCCTATAGATTTTTAAAAAATTTTGTTTATGAGAAAAACTTTATTAAGGTTCTAAGACCTATCTGTGGGAAAATGAATTGTCCTGCTAATTTTCGTCCATTTTTTAATAAGGTATATCTGTTATAGTATCCATGTGCTTAAAATACCCTAAAATAATTTTTATTATGGTGTTAGCAATTTGGAAAGCCAAATCATAAAAGGTTTCCTTAGTGAATACCTATTCAAATAGTGGCGAAGATATGATAGTAGGAGTTAGTCTCTATGATTGTGTAAAGAATCTCAAATGGCACGTGATGGTAATACCACATCTAGAACTGAGGTGTTCTGACAAAATGTGATTTTTTTGGTAATTTGTTGTCATGATGCCTATTTTTTAAGACTTTGGAAGACTTTTGTTTAGGAGTTTGAAACTGAATATGTGCTGCTATTGTGTGAGAAAGTCACTTTCATCTAGAAGTTCTAATAACACAATATGCTTGTATACTGATTCACACAGAGCATCAGAAATTTAATTTAGGAAATAATGCTTCCTTTAAATAGGCACTGTCAGGAATTTACTATGGATATCACAATTTTATACCAGACTTTACTAAAATAATGGGCTTATGAGCTAACATTTGGTAATTTGGTAACTATAAAAACAGTGAGAATGTTTTTCCTAAGTAATGTTCTTGTCTTATGAAAATTACTAAGTTATTTATATTCTTTCATCAGGTAATAAAAATGGATTTACTAAAAAACTTTTATTTTTGAAGTTATTACTGCCAAATCTGCTTTGGTTTTTGCTAAGATATTTGATTCCAGATGACAGAGAGAGCTGTACATTTTAATATTCAAAATCTAATCTTAGAAATGTTCAGAGGAGAAAAAAAAAACCCACATGATGATAGTTTCTGCAATGCTTTCTTAGTTCAGAAGGTATTGTAATAGATGTATGCAGTAGATAATATTTTAAAAAATGCATCAAAGTTAAGTAGGGCTTTAATTGGTTCAGTATAATGTAAAATGGGACCAAGATGTAACAAATCATAGCATATAGTTAAAATGTAGAGACTTTTGAAGAGTTTTTCTTAGGGTAGTTAATTCTGTTTCTGCTGAATTTAATAAATATTCTGTGAACATGTAAATTTAACCTATTTTCAGATAATGCCATAATTGAAGACATTTCACTCCAATCATGATTTTTATGACATTTAAATGTGGAAAATACTTTTTATATTATGTTTTTATAATGAACATAAACGGATAAATCATTTCATTTTAAAAGTAGAATTTTAGGGGTTTCCCTGGTGGCACAGAGGGTTAAAGCACAGCACTAAGAAGCAAAAGGCACTTCAGCATGAGTTCAATCCCTGCCCCAGAGGTGATTCACATGGCGTGGCAGACCTCTCCTGACCCGCTCGCTGCTCCCCTTACCAGTATACTTCGGTGATCTGCCTGTTCTGCTCCCCACTCTGTCTCTGGTGAAGCCTTTTACTTCTCCTGCACCTCTGGCCTGTACCCCAGTTCTGTATGCATAAATAAATAAATTTTTAAAAAATAAAATAGAATTTTAGACTATTAATTGAATGTCAACAGCTTAAAGTTGATATCTTTTAAAGTCAAGAGTTATAGTATCATTGTAAAATCATTTGCACTATATGTAATATTTAAAAGTGAATGCAGCAAATTATTGACAAATTATACAAAATTCACACAGTGGAAAACAGATTGTAGATTTTCATCTGCAGAAATGAGTTTAACTATATGTGGGAGTATGGATGTGATACTTTCATTTTCTAAGCCAGAAATTTTTACCATTGAACACAGTCTTGTAATCTTGTAATCTTGCGTGTAGGATGTATTAGGGTAAATTTGGAATGTGTTGAGCATTTTGAGCAACTATAGTACTAATAAGAATTTTAACTATAAAGAAGAATGTTTTTTGCCCTTTTAGATATAGCAAATTATTTGATAGTAACAATTTGAGTAAAAAATATCAGTAGCAATAAGCTTATTAGGTTGGTAAAGTAGATATTGTCAGTACATACTATAAAGACAAGAAGATTACAATTTTACTTGTTTTGGAGCTAGATAATCGTAAGGGCCTTCTTGTTACAGAGCAAATAAAATGTATATATATAAGAAAAGCATATATATATTTTTTCCTTTTATTGAAGAAACATTGGTTTAAAACACTGTCTAGGTTTCAGGGTACGGTTTCTCTGACAACAGTATTTTTATACCACGCCCACTACCAAATATCCTGTCACTATCCTCCAACCAAGCTATACCCTCCTCACTCTTTCCCCTCTGGTAACCATCATTTTGTTGACTGAGTCTAAGAGTTTGTTTTCATTTTGTTTGTTTATTGATTGCTTTTTCCCTCTTTATATTCCACAATGTATGAAATCACACGGTGTTTTTTGTTACTTTTACTTCTCTATCCATTCGTCGGTCTTTGGGCACTTGGGTTGTTTCATATGTTGGCTATTGTGAATTGTGTTGTAGTGAACAAACAAAGGGTCTTTTTGAGTTAGTGGCTTTATGTTCTTTGGGTCAATATCCAGAAGTGGTAGCTCTGTTTTCAGTTTTTTGAGAAACCACAAATCATATTCCATAATGGCTACATCAGTTTACATTCCACTGACAATGTGCTAGAAAGTAAGAATATGTTCCAAAGGTAATCAAAACAATTCAGGACAGTCAATGGATTTGGACCTGTTTTGTAGTTTTCAATGTACTAGCATATTACCTCCTTGCTTAAGTTTATTCCTAAATGCTTTGTCCTTTTTCTTTTCCACAGTATACTTAATAGCTTTTATTTAAAAAATTTCTTTCCCAATTATATTTATTGAGGTAAAAGTTAGTTTACATCATTGTATTTGTTATAGGCTCAGGCTTTACAACTCTATGTTTTCGTACTGTGCCTACTAACAATGCCCTAATATTCCTCTACCATGTTCTTGGTGTTATTTTAAATGCGCTGGTTTTCTTAATTTCCTTTTTTGTATTGTTAATCGTTAATGTATAATAACACAATTGATTTTTGTATGTCAGTTATATATCCTGCCTTTTGATGAATTCTTAGTTTTAACAATTATTTTTGATGATTATTCAAGCTTTTCTACATACAAAGTAATATCTGAAAATAGAGATAATGTTGAGTCTTTGTCTTCAATTTGGATGCCTTTTATTTCATTCTCTTTTCTAATTACTATGACTAGGGTTTCCAGTGTTATGTTGAAAATGAACATTCTTTCCTTGTTCTTAATCTTTTAGGAAAATCTTAGTTTTTCATCATTATGATGTTAATTATGATGTTGTTCTATATGGCTTTTATTATGATGAGGTAATTGCCTTTTCTTCTTAGTTTGTTGAGTAGTCTTACCATGAAGAGTATTGAATTTTTTTCAAATGCTTTTTGTGCCTCAGTTGAGATGATCATATAGTTTTCATCATTCTGCTAATGTGTGGTATATTACAATAGTTTTTTATTGAAAAACATCTGATTAGGGCCTCCCTGGTGATGTAGTTATTAAGTTTCAGTACTATCAAGCTATCCCCAGCCACTGGGCATGAGTTCCAATATGACCCACATGGTGTAGCAGACTTCTCCTGTCTTGCTCCCACATGGTACAGTAGACCTCTCCTGTCTTGCCCTCACATGGCACAGCAGACTTCTCCTGTCTTGTCCTCACATGGTACAGCAGACCTCTCCTGTCTTGTTCCCACATGGGAGACCTCTCCTGTCTTGCCCTTACTTGGTGCAGTAGACCCCTCCTGTCTTGGCCATTGCTCTTAGCAGTATACTTCAGTTTCCACCTGTTCTGCTCCCCACTGTGTCTCTGGTAAATCTTCTCATCCTCCCACACTTCTGGCATATACCCCAGTTCCTGTTTCATAAATAAAATAAATCTTTAAAAAATATATTTAATATATCTTAAAATTAATATAGTATACAGTACACATATTGCACAAATTGAATATTTTATCATCATTGCATATGAAATTAACAGTTACTTGACTTGCCTTTTTTTTTTAAGATTTATTTATTTGTGGATACAGAACTGGGGTACAGGCCAGAGGCTCAGGGGTGGCGAGAGGCTTCACTAGAGACAGAGTGGGGAGCAGAACAGGCAGATCTATGAAGTACACTGCTGAGGGGAGCAGCGGGTGGGTCAGGAGAGGTCTGCCATGCCATGTGGTCACCTCCGGGGCAGGTGGGAATCGAACTCATGTGGAAGTGGCTTTAGTTTCTCAGTGCTGCACTTTTACCCACTGTGCCACCAGGGAGGGCCCTTGACTTGCCTTTTTTATGACATGCAGTGTCCACTGAGTAAGTTCAAAGCAAACGACATTTAAAAATTATAATGAAAATAAAAGTGTGCACAGGTATAAAAGTCAAAAGAAATTTTCAATGATAATTTTATTTATAACTAAAAATTAGTTCATTTGTTACAAATACAAAACTAAATCAGAATTAATGATTTTCCTAATTCTTTTCTTATATGATAGTCATCTTATTTGCACATTGAATATATTTGATTTTATGCTATTATGGTGAACTATATGAAGTTGAATTTTTTCTATTTTATACTATTTTATACTATCAACAATTAGGTATCGACACTAAACAAATACAAGTACTTTAAATGTACTTAATAAAAATTCTAGGAGTGTGATTTAGTCTTAATATAGTGTATCACAACACTTTGTCCCATTTAAAAACTGATACGTGGATACTTCAGGGATTACTTTTTAAAACAAATTCCAAGTTGAATGAGAGTATTGTACTAAGCTGAGTAGTAGTCATTTCTGTGATTTTTTTTTTATTATAAAAATTGAATATGTACTTCTGGTGATCCTGTTTTGTAATGGTGAATTATTTCCTGGTAGTTATTCTTGGTCTAAGCAGCCTTTGTCTATCATTTTGTTATATATATACAAATGCCTCTGTATACCTAAGGATAATGGTGATAATAAATCTAATAATAACTAACACTGAGGGCTTGTTATAATTCAGGAACTGTCCCAAGACTTGACTTTTATAATCTTCATAATAATCATGTAGTGGTAGGTACTGTTATCATCTTTTTACAGATGGAAAGAAGATGCAGAATATTAATCAGTTGCCCATCACAGATAGTAAGTAGCAGAGTAGAATGATACATAATTATTTGAGCATAAGACATGATTTGAATCATCTTTGTATTTCTACTTTCTTAATAATTCCATTGTTTGGAAGTTAGATACCTTAGGAATTTTCATATAAACATGTTTTTAATAAATTTTCAATGTTATATTTATTCATTATGTATTTATTTTTTTAAAAGATTTATTTCTTTATGCATACAGATATGGGGTACAGGTCAGAGGTGCAGGTGCGGTGAGAGGATCTACCAGAGACAGAGTGGGGAGCAGGACAGGCCAAGTGATGAAGAACACTGATGAGGGGAGCAGTGGGCGGGTCAGGAGAGGTCTGCCACACCGTGTGGATCACCACTGGGACAGGGATCGAATTCATGCTGAAGTGGCTTTCACTTCTCAGTGCTGTGCTTTAGCCTGCTGTGCCACCAGGGAGGGCCCTCCATTATATGTTTTTAAGAAATTAATACATGCCCCCCTTTTTTTTTGGTTCACAGGATGGACAATCTGAAATCTTATATACTTTTTGGAATTCAGTTACTCAAGCACTTTCTTCCCAATTTCACAAGGCAACAAATTGTGAGTATACAATTCATTTTCAAATTCGTTACAAGTTTTTCAGTTACTTTAAAACTCAGTATCAAGAACTTTTGCTTGATTGGTTTACAAAACCTATTTTTTTAAACTTCCTGCCTAATTGTCATTTTTTTTCTGCACTTCAGCTCTAGAAATTGTTAACTGTATATTCAGTTTCATAAGTTAATTTTTACATATGACTTCTAATTTGTATTTAGAATAAAACTCTGTACAAGCGTAAGTGAATTTTTCCTATTTCAAATATAGAAGATTTTTGACTGACTTCTTCCTGTTTGAAGAGTATCAGTTGATTTTGAAAGTAGAATTACTTTAATTCTTAAACTAAAAGATATTAAAATACACAGACTTCATAGCTTTTTTTCTTATAGTTAAACATGAAGATTTGATGGACAGATAAAATGCCTGTGTCATGAATTAATATATGCGACCTGTAAAACTTTTTCTTAATTTGTTATTTCATGAAATAATGGCACAGGTGGTTCTAAACACTGATATACAAATTAGCGAACATCTTCATGAATGCCATTGTCTAATTACTGTATGTAAGAGCAATGAATTTACCTAGATTTTTTAAACAGATGTGAAGAATGTATGTATAATTAAATTCACATTCACAAACATTTACTGATAGTAGGTAGAAAATGTTAACACTATTAGAGTAGTCATTGGCAACACCAGGTTGAACAATTCACACCATTTCTTACTTCATACTAAAGTACGCAGCGAGGTAGTGATCATGGAGGTTTTCATTCATGTGTGTCTAAACAGAACCTAAGTAGTTTATGTAGGATTCATTCTTTTCCTTTTATTTCTACAAATCACATTACTGAGAGAATATTCTCCATCTCCCTCTATCTTCCCATATTTGTTTTAGTCAGCTGTTTTTAGAAGTAGTACATAGTTAAATTCAATATTTTAAACAGAAAATTTTGAACAAATGTTCACATGCACATAACCACCATCACAATTAAGATAGAGAACATTTTCATCACCTCTCATTTTCCTCACGTACCTTTGTAGTTAATTCTTTACTCTCACCACTTGGTTCCTGGAAACAAATGATCAATTTTCTGGCAGTGAAAGTTATTTTTTACTAGAATATTATAAAATTTTAATTGTATGTGCTTTTATATCAATATAACTCATTTAAGATTCATCCATGTTGTTTAATACTTAAGTAATCCATTTCCTTTTTATTCCTGATTTGTATTCCATTGTATAGATGTAGACTATAACTAGTTCGTCCATTTCTCAGTTGAGGGACAATTGGTTTGTTGCAGTTTGAGGTTACTATGAAAATAGCTATCATAGTAATTTCAAACAAGTCTTCTGTAGACATTTATCTTCATTCTGGGTGAATGTATGAGTGGAATTTCTTGAACATTTAATGAGTATATTTTCAACTATTTTCTTAAGAGATCTTTATATATTCTGGACTTAGAACCCTTTCTCAGATGTGTATTTTGCATATATATTCCCCTTGGTTTGCCCTTTAACTTTCTTCATCATATTTCCCGAATATTAAACATTTAATTTTGATAAATTTTAATTTATCAGTTTTTCTTTGATAATGTGCATTAGGTTTTTCTTTTTTAAAATCTAGAAATCTTTAAGCAGGGAAATTTTTCCTGCTCTAATTTATTCTATAACTTTTACTTGATTCTTTGGGAAGTAACTTTTTTTTATATGCATGTAGATCTAAAAGATTGTGCTTTATCTTTTGATTGTCCTTGCAGTTTGTTGAAATTACTTGGTTATCTATGTGTGACATTATTTCTGAATTTTCCTTTCCCCAATTTTATTTTGCATGTTTGTGTTAGTATAAATACCATCCAGTTTAAGTCACTAAAAGTGTAAAACCTATTTTATCTTCACTATCAAAATAATTTCAGTTACTATATACCCTTTCTATGCCTTTTAATAAATCAGAATTAGGTTGTTTCCATAAAAACAGCTAGCATTTTGACATTGCATCCACTCTATAGACCAATTTGCAATGAAGACGTATTGTAACAACTTTAACTCTTTTAGTCCTTAAGTCTGATAATTCTTTCCATTGATCTAGGTCTTTCACATTTTCTCTTATCAGTGTTTTAGTACACAGGTCTAGGAAACTTTTTCTGAGACCTGTTACTGTCATATTTTTATAATGTTACAAATGGTATTCATTTAAAATTTTACCTTAGTTCATTACTAGAAGATAGAAATAAAATTGAATTTGTGTATTACCCTTGTATTGCTAGCCTTACTTACTAGTTCTAATAGTTGGAAATTTCTTAGATATTTCTGTATCAATAAGCATGAGGTCTACAAAGACAGTTTTACATCTTTTCCAATATGGTTACTTTCATTTTTTGTTTTTCTTACTGCATTAATAGTTCTAAAACAGTGTAGAATTAAATTTTTTAAACCAATTTACATTCTTAGTGGAAAAGCATTCTGTCAACCTCAATATAATAACTTAGATTTTTTAGTGGCACTTTTAGTCAGGTTGAGGAAGTTCCCTTCATTTCTAGTTTGTTGAGAATTTTTACTTTGAATGGTTGATTTTCTCCCATTGCTTTCTCTCCATCCATTTACTTGGTCAGATAGTTAATGAGTTTAATTATTTTATTCTGTTAGTTTGGTGAATTACATTGATTTTTCGAATTTCAAACTAACCTTACATTCTTGGATAAACCCCACATGATCAAAATATATTATCCTCTTCTAGATTGCTAGATTTAAATTGTTCAAAAAAAATTTTTTTTAAAGATTTACTTATTTATGCATATAGAACTAGGGTACAGGCCAGAGGTGCAGGGGCAGTGAGAGGATTCACCAGAGGCAGAGTGTACAGCAGAACAGGCCTACTGACAAAGTACACTGCTGAGGGGAGCAGCGGGCAGGTCAGGAGAGGTCTGCTGTGCCATATGGGTTACTTCCGGGGTGGGGATTGAACTCATGTTGAAGTGGCTTTAGCCTCCGAGTGCCGTGCTTTTAACTTGCAGCACCACCAGGGAGGACCCCAAAAATAATTTTTTTAATCTATCTTTTTACAAGATACTGATATTCAGTTTTCTTGTAATGTTTTTCCAGGATTGATTCAGAATAATAGTACTCCTTCCTATTCAGTTTTCTCAAATGGTTTGTGTAGGATTGGTGTTACTTCTTCCTTAAATGTGTGTTTGAATTCATTAGGCCAAATGATCTTGGCCTCGCATTTTTTTGTGGGGGAAAGTTTATTACTATAAATTCAACTTCATTCATAAATACAGGATTATTCCATTTATTTTTTTCTTTCTTGAGTTTGATAGATTAGGTTATGTCTTTCAGAGAATTTTTCTAGTCCATTGTAGCTTTCTGTTTTACTGATTTAAAGTTGCTTGTGACAGTTCCTTATTATCCTCTGAATGTATGCATAATCTGCCATATCTCATTCCTGGTAACATTAGTTTGTTTTTCTTCTTTTTATTAATAATCATGACCAGAGGCTTATTAATTTTGGTTTCATTGTTTTTTCTCTATTTTCTTTCTTTTTTTATTCATTTGTTTAATATTTCTTTGCTCCTTTGTTTAATATTTCTTTTCTTTTTTTGAAGGGTTGTGCAAAATTATTATACTTATAAAAATGGCACAAGAGTAAATTCAGCAGTGGATGCACATGTACGTTCCATTGACATTTTTAATAACAAAAGGTATTATAACATTGCAGAACTGAATAAAAATACTAGCTTCAACAGCAGCTGTTAGGCACTAGAGTCATTTAACTTACACCAGAAGGGCAAATATTGCCCAAATAAAATTCTGTTGTTAATCCTGAGATCAAGCAAGTTCAATTATAGAGACACAGATCTTTTGGTCCCCATTTATTTATTTGACGTGTGTGACCTTTCTCCCAGGTTGAGGACTTCTGTTATACAAAATCCAAAGGAAAATACAGAAGAAATCAATATGATAGCATTTGTATTGCACAAGAGTAGTAGAGACACAATTGTAATTAAAATTAAGAAAAGCCAAAAATTAGAAATTTGAAACTTGCTTGTTACTTGTTGGAACTGACCCTACACTAAGAGTTAGATAATATCAATAGTTATTTTCAAATAGGCTATATTTTGTTGCTCTAACATAATAATTAAGTTTCCCAACTAGATGAGGTTTTAGAGTTGACATGCTTGAAATTGAAAATTCATGGTTGTTTTAAGAGATAATTTCTCAAATAAATGTAGTAATATAAATTTAGCCTTCAGTTACATCCTTCTCCATGTGTGAAAATAATTGATTTCCATGAAAACAATTATCATAATGAAGTTCTATTTAATATTTCACTTTTCACATTGTATTTCTTTGTCAGTACTTCTTCCTTTCTTTAATGAGTGAATTTAATTTGTACTCTGACTTTCTTACCTCACTATTACAACAATATTTTTAAAGACTTGTAGCATACTTAATCAACCTTTGACCTGTAGACATTGCCTCTTCCAATATTGTTTATTTGCAAATTTAGCACATTTTTAGTAAACTCTTTAATGTAAGGTAAACTTTTCCCTACCATATCACTGAGAATTAAGAGAGGGTCAGTTTAGGTAGTGAGACTGGGATAGAAATGGCCTTGTCTGATATTTCATTCACCAGTGTGAGATCAATTCTGGATCTTGTGATTAAATTCTCTTCTCATTCTGTTTAATATTTTTCTGTATTTCTAGATATCTATTAATGTTTGGTTGGCTATCAAGCATTGTATTGTTCCTTGTTCTGTGTTAAGTACTATTACTTTTGTCTTCTTATAAGTAATGTTATTTTTGGGTACTCTCAAGTTACTTGGAAATAATTTAGTCTTTTTCAGTCTTGTTTTTCAAGATGTTTTAGCAAAACCTAAGCAGTGTTTTCTCTAAGGCTATTTATTCCCTACTAAGGTATTTCTTTCTGCTTAGCAGCTTACTAGATACTCTGTGAATTAATGAGGTTTTCCGTCCTGGACTTAAGTAACACCTGATAATCTT